AGAGAATTTCTCTCTAAAAATGTTTTTTAAAAGTCTATTACTTATTTATATTGTGCAAATGTCTTGATTCATTCCTTTTTTCTTTAGATGTTGCATCCAAGGAATTTTGTGATYCATAGTTCCCCAGGAATTCTGAAGGTCTTTCAAGGTTTTCTTTTGATTTTGGCTGATTTTTCACTCGTTTTCAGTTCAGTCAGGTACTGCATGTTTCATTTGTTAAACCATTTAACCCAGATCTGTGAATCAGCCAAACAAACAGATCCCTGAACTCAGGGGATGAACCAGACTTATGTCTTATTACGGCACATAACATAGTAACAAAACAACTTTGCATTTGGTTCTCAGACCCTTTGTTAACAGCACTCTGTTTAAATTTCATGTGTGTTTTGGTTAATTCTTTTTTAAAAAATACAAAGTTAACATTAAAAATGCAGGTAATTCCCAAAAAGCTTATAGTTGGCAGTTTTTTATGATTGCCATTTCTTCTTTTGTCCTCCATATGTCTGCTTTCTGAAATTTTTAAGCACAATCTGCACTTTATTTAAGACTGGACAGAAAACAAGTGAAATAGTAGCCAAAGTCAGAATAAAAAATATTTTTGAAAGGTTGTGATTGAGCATCCCTGCCCCTTCACACTTTTCAACAGACTTTGATTTAGATCACAGTTCCTATACAAACACAGTTTACACATAGTCATGTCATCCTCAAATCCTCCTTTCAGTTAGTTTGCAATTGGTCAGTAAAGTCATTATCAATATATAATTTCCCTCATCAGCTTAGAACAACCAGAGGTGCACACTTGGGGGTTCAGTTCAGAAAAAACATTCATTTTAAACACACTGCTACTTATCAAAGTTGTTGCTTTATCAGTAAGTTGCTTCTAATTGCATGGGTAGAAGCAGGTGGGATGTTTACATTTTATGATCATGTGATTTTGTTAATTGATTTTGGGTATTTGTTTTATCTTTTTTTCTTTTGGTTTGTTGAAGAGTGAGAGAAAGTAAAGCTGAAATGTTAACTTTGTATTTATTTTATGTTGAAACCAATGCATTTTGTTAAAAAGAAATGTGAAGCTGTTTATTGGGTAAAAATAAGGAAATGATGTGCCTGATGGGAGGGGCTATAGAGTAGAGTTGCTGTCCATCACTGAGGAGGCTGGGTAGAAAATGACTATGAGGGATCTAGAGTTAAATGGGTTGGTTAGGGGGTTTTTCAAAAGAAGACAAGTGTTTTTCCACTGTGAAGAACAAGAATAAAATCCAAATGAACAGAAATTTTCCTGACATGCCAGTGGATTTTTGAATTGTRTTTTGGCAATGTTGGCCTGAAGAAGAACCCCGTGACAAAGATCTTCAAATAACTTAGAAAACTATTGCTCAAGGCTGTTTTAAAGAAATCAGGAGTGGTCTGAAACTTTAACACAGGACTGGATGTAATTTCATCTACCAATTATAGCATCAATCAAACACTTAGCTGTTGCCCCGTGTTGCCATGGTGCCTGTTCCTCTGCGGACTGAACATGTTTGTTTGTCTGTCATGAGTTGTGTGTAAAGTAAGCACACGGTGAGAGCGTTTATTTTAGGATTTGGTTGATTTGCTTCAGCCAATGCTCCTGTGTGCTATTCTCGTCTGAATCAGTCATCAGTGACTCATCTGTTCATTCATAGCTTATTTCTTGCAGAACCTGTTWCTTTACATTTTTGGGGGAGTGTAACCAAGTATTTGCATTTATTTTTTTCTATGTCCTTTTTAGGGTGATAACTCAAACAAGTAATTTCCATTCGTCACAAAATGTCATAACAACAACTGATGGCATGAAGATTAAAATGAACAATGATATTTTTAAACTGCATTATAGTCAGGCTCTTGGTGTTGAGGAGGTTGTGGTTTACCTGGATACTTGTTTAGAGCTACTTGTCTTTTGAATGAATAGATGGTATCAGCACACACTATTCTTGTTGTGCTCTGAAAGAGAATTAAAAATGCTTTACTGCAAATAAACTGAACTTTAAAGTAAAAGTTGAACACTTTTTAAAAAATGTATTTAGAGCTGAACTGAACTGTTGACCTAAAGGACCAGCTTTATGATGGTAAAAAAACAAAACAAAAAAATAAAAAAAAGACAAATACAATCTAGTTAGATTGTAGTTCCACAAAGCTAAGAGCTCAAAAGACTGTACTGGCTTTTAAAATTGTTTAAAAAAAAGTAGCACACGTTTCATTTTAAGACAAAAAATCTGCATGTAAAAAATATAGGCCTTTCTGCCTACAAGGGTCATTTTGAATCAGGTGGTCCCATAATCAGGATGACAAGGTGAGCTTCCCTATCCTCACCTGTAGGTAAACAGTTAGTAACAATTCACAAATTTTGCTGACACATTTTTTTCTTCAAAGTTTTTTTATTATTTTTTAACAAAAAACACAAACAAAAAATAAACAACAGAAAAAACACACCCATTAAAAAACCCTCCCANGTGTGTGTGTGTGTGTGTGTGTGTGTGTGTGTGTGTGTGTGTGTGTGTGTACCTTGTTCTTATTACCTTTTTAGGACCTTTTTCTGGTACAAACACATAGCTTGCTCAGTAGTGCTTTTGGAGACCAAATACTGGTCCTAATGTGGTGGAACACCATTTTGCGTTAGGATTAGTCATGTACAGGCGTTTTAGGGTAATGATCAGGCTACAGAAATGAATGGAAGTCAATACACAGTCCTAATAAGGATAGAAATACAAACTTGCATGTGTGTGTGCGATCATGTTAGATTGAGCCCCCACCATCTCACTCTTCTAGTGATTGTTTGATTTCCTTTACAAACACTCCACCACTCTTCTGGTTGCTCATTCTGTGCTGCTGTAGCTGCATTCTTCCTGTTTCATTTTTTTCTGACTGAATGAAAAACGGAGCATTTGAAGACTGAATAAATAAACTTTGTCAACTTTAAAAACAATGAATTATACAGAACGGTCTCCTGGCATGAGTCAGCTGAGAGTAGAGCAGGTCAACATATTTCTGTCTGAGAGGTTTGTCTTTTGCTCCATGACTAAGGCCTGATAAGAACTATTGCAAAATCACAAAAGATTTTTATTTTCCCATGTGCTTTTCTCTTTCTTTCTAGTAAGATGCATGAGAAATCAAGCATAAMGGTTTTTAGCTACAACAACAAAGGCTTACACAGATAGATACATTTTTTTCTGTTCCACAGAAACAGAAAAGTAAACATAAAAACTCAAGGCCAACTCAGACAACAAATAGTACTATTTATACATTATAATGGACAACAGTATTAAAGCCAATATTTGAACATGTAAATTGCTCTGTTCCTGTCAAACTTCCCACCTGTGTTTTATTTTCTGTTTAGCGTTTACGTAACCCTTGGTACAAAAAAAAWTTGTGTGGGAGTATTTTCTTCTTCACGGGAATTCTGTCAACTTACAATGTGTTCACACTAGGGTTGGGCAATACTGGCAAAAAAATTAATCATGATTAATTGTGGTATTTAGCCGATAACGATTAATTTGACAATTAATCCCCTGGAGTCCCTGGACACCCTTATGTCCTGGTCACATGACCAATACAGTGGGAAAGATTTGCTCTTCATAAAAATCAGTTCCAAATTGTGTCAAAATTACTGACTTCAAGCTACACCTAAAATTTTAGATTGTGTTGATAGATAAATAAATTACAGAACTTTTTTTATGTTCATCATATTTGAAGCAGAGAGGAGCAGCGCCTGGTGGCATTAATTGTATTAATCGTCAAGTGCCAAAAAGTAATCGATTAATGTTTTTCTGACGATTAATTGCACACGATACGATTATGCCCAACCCTAGTTCACACACACTTTTATTTTTCTTTCTGAGTCACTCATTTTGTTAAAAATGAGGGTCCAACAACAAGGAACAAGGAAATAGGACTAAAGCTCCGGGTTCGTTGTGTTTAAGTGGAAGATATGCCAAATTTCAGAATGCAATCAGATATTTTAGTGTATTTTATTAATTGCCAACACTTCCTGTTCTATTTGTTAATTGAATCATTTCTAAAACAAGAAAAAAAATTTAACAGTGTTGTGTTGATTAATGGTTTGTTGTCACCACCATGTTGTTACGGTGTTACAGAACAATTCACAACAATTTATCTAATTCATGGGGCTTTGCCTCCAACAAAAGGTTGAACTGCAGGAATTAGATGAGTAATGCTGTCATTTTGGGTTGGAGTCAGTCAAACAATTGTTTCAGTGAATTTCCACACCCTCCACCTTTCTTCACTGTCAATCTTCCCTAGAAGGAGCGAGGTGTCTGCTTCCATACGTCATGTTTCCTACATTTTGATAACAAGGCTAAAAAATTCATTGKTATGTTTCTTGGCTTCAGGTGTCTGTTGCACCATCATGCAGAAACAGTGTTAGGTTACCTTTGTGTTTACACATGCCTAAGCGGACTCTTGTTGGCCGCTAATGAGGCTAAAATTGTGCCAAGAGTAAGTGAAATGAAAGACTGATATTTATAGGTCTGGGTTGAAGCTTTTGTCCTCCTTTGAACCTGTTGAAAGGTGTTAGTCTGTTGTAGGACACTAAAGGTTCAGTTGTTTTCAAAAATAGGTATTTTAAGATTTTTTTTTTTTGCTTAAAAACAAAGCTGATAACTTGATCAAGAAGGCTAAAATAATAAATGCAGAGTGTAGGTGCATATAAATTTACGGAGTTTGCCCTTTGTCATATTTATTTAAACTTATCCTAATTTCTGGCAGAGGATACAAGTACCTACCTCCTCAGGAGAYCTTCAGTTTTCAACCAGTAATTAGATGTGGCTCAATTAGTATTAAGGTACAGTAATAATAATAGAAATAGCAGACAAAATAGATAAGATGTAGCAAAAATACTATTATGAAGTAAAGGAATATTAAAAAGGATTTCTCATAGTTTTCATTCCTGAACATTCCAGCGTTTCACGTATCATCACTTTACCTGTCTTTTTTTTCTCTTTTCCTGTTTCTTCCTGCAGTGGATGTGATCTTCAGCATGGACCTAAGCGTGACACACAGGTTGATACATCAAGGCCCAGATTCGACCATGTTAGCACACCAGCCTTCATTTTTCCTGGGACATCTCACAGCGGAACAATTCTCTCAATTTTCCCAGCAGCATTTGCAGGTGAGGCTAATGTTGGAGAAGGAGTAAATGAAACAGTGCTTCARCAAATTAAACCATGAGCAACAGCTCGCAATGTGCAGTCAGGCAATAGATGAATAAATTGTATAAGTTAGTAAGTTTAGTGTATAGTGTATAGTTAGTAAGTTGTATAAGTTAGGCTGATTCAGTTAATTCAATCACTGAATCAGGTGTGTTGGAGCTGGAAAACCTCTAAAACATGCAGGATAACGGACTTGAGGACTGGAGTTTGACACCCTTCCTTAGAGGAATGCATATCGCCCTTCATGCCAGAGTTTATCTAAGATTATCTTAGAACAGCTTAAGGCTGAGTCACACTACAAGATTTTAAAACAGTTGGCCGATTTTCAAAGACTGATAGAGCCCACACGTGAGGACAGAAAATCATGGATATACCAGGTTTGGTCCTACAGTGTGTCAGTCACACGGCAAGAGACAATACACCACACACGAAATTATATTTCATTCATGAACATTGAGATGTCAGGTATTAAATCACACGATACTTCCTGAAATCTCGCGAGAATTCATATGTCTGAGGAAAAATCTCACATGACCTCCAGAGAGACGTGAGTTCAGAGTAAGTAAACATTTGCGACAAGGAAGAAACAATCGTTTGTGGACTATTTTTACCAGAGGAAAAAAATTACATAGGACTTTTAACATCCAGCAGACTTTCTGGTGAGTTATGACAGTTTTTTTGTCTTCTGTATTTGGAATCCCCTCCGTGTTTATGTCACCTYGCTTTCTGATTGGCTACACGTCTCATTCACAGTCTGAGAGCCCGGGTGAACACTACACACACTGTGATATCGGGCCAAAATATCAAACATGTTGAATATCCCCGATTTGAGGTCTGAGCAGTCCCGACGTCCTTCCGAGCCGACTAGATCACTCTTAACTCACCACCCACGGCAGGAATATCTGCTGTGATTATCTTTAGAGCCATCACGATAATCTTGACTTCCTTAAGATTGTCGGAAGGGCAAATATCGGCACGATTTTCTTGTAGTGTGACGCCGGCCTTAGAATGGGTGATGGAGATGACTTTCAATCTTTCTGCCACACCAAATTTTAGTTCAATATCTGTGAAACTGACAGAAATTATATCCATTTTTGGGTTTCCAAGGTGAGTTAATGACCATCTTCTATTTGGTTGGCTCCAAAACGTAATAAGTTCTAGTGGTACATCTATTGATTATTTCTTGAACATTTTATTAAAATTCATCCATTAATTCATGAACTACACTACTTTGGTAGTGTATCAACGATGTTGATTAAAAAATGAGGATAACATTTGAAACAAAAATCTTGAGCAATCTGTCAGAGCTTAAAATATGTTTTGGGGCTCAGTCTCAGCTACCATCACACCCAATTTGAGGTAAATATCTGTAAAATAGACAGCATTATAGCAATTTTTGTGTTTTTTAGGGTTCGTTGATGACACGAATCATAGCAGGGAAAACCCCAGGGCGCAGGTGAGGTTCAAAATATAACAAAAAGGCTTTAATATAACAAAAAAGGCTGGCGAGGCAGCTCCAAAATCTCACTTGAATACACAGGGACGAGGAAGACCGGACACAGGTACGAACAACAATGATCCGACAAAGACGGATGACGAGACTCAGAATATAACGCAAACAAATTAAAAGACAATGGGAGGGACCTGGGGAGACACAAGAGGAAACAGGTTAGCATGGGCGGGGCTGGAGGCAAGACAGCAGGGAAGAGAAACACGGGAACAGAAAAACACTAGAAAATGAAGACAAAAACACAGATCATGACAGTACACCCAACCCACCCCCCACCCCACTTCAACGACGGCTCCCGACATCGAAAAAGGGAGAGGTACAGGACTAGGGGAACAGGAACACAAGAYAGGGAAACTCAGGACAAAAACAAACACACAAGTCCAGGGGGATGGCCAGGAAACCATCCATAATAACACGAGGCCTGGCAGGAACAGCAGCAGACGTGGATCCACGGGAGGAGGCGGGAGCAGACGTGGAGCCACGGGAGGAGGCGGGAGCAGATGCTAGCCACGGGAGGAGGCGGCAGCAGACACTGAGCCACGGGAGGAGGCGGGAACAGAAGCTGAGCCACGTGAGGAGGAAAGAGCAGATGCTGAGCCACAGGAGGAGGCAAGAGCAGACGTGGAGCCACGGGAGGAGGCTGGAGCAGACTTGGAGCCAAGGGAGGAGGCGGGAGCAGACGTGGAGCCACGGGAGGAGGCAGGAGCAGACGTGGAGCCAAGGGAGGAGATAGGAGCAGACGTGGAGCCAAGGGAGGAGGCGAGAGGCGATGAGGAGCCGGCGGAGGTTGATGGAGCCGGAGCCTCGGTGATGACGAACACAGGTGACAGAGGAGACGAAGAGGTGATGGCAGCTGACCCAGGCGACATGAAGGCGACGGCAGCTGACCCACGAACCTCAAGGACTGCCAACTCGGGTCTCGCCATCTCAGGAGACACTGGAACCGCCATCTCAGGAGGCACTGGGACCACCAGGACCATGGACTCTGGAACCACAGACTGTGGAACCACCGGGACCACCGACTCTGGGACCACCGAGACCACCGACTGTGGAGCCACTGGGACCAATGACTATGGAACCACTGATTGTGGAACCACCAGGACCACCAACTCAGGAGCTGGGACTGGAACCACCAACTCAGGAAACTCAGAAGAGAGGGGAACAGATTCAGGTGAGTCGGCAGACTCCGATGACTCAGCTGACACAGATGACTCAGATGACTCAGTAGCCAAAACATCTGGCTCGGGCAGCAAAGGTTCAAGAACCGCAGCAGCCGGCCCAGGAAACACAGATGGGGTGGGAGGGTGGGCGTTCAGACGCTCAACCTGGACTCGCCGAGCGTAATCGCTGACCCTCCGGTGGCCAGGCAGAAGCAGCAGATCGGGACGCCTCACCATGATGTCTTCGATCAGCTGACAGTAAAGTCTTTTTGCCGCAGGGGTGGAGGACCACCGGAGGATCATCAGTGCCCCGGCGATCTTAGAGCTTGTCACCTTGTCCACCACGGCGGCAGAGACGGGTGAGGCAAAACCGGTCATGTGGAGTTCAGGCGGCATTGGAGAAAATTCTTCTGCCACGTAGAGAGGCAGACCAAAGAAACCTCTTCTAGCGGGCTGGACACGGTCGGATCAATATGACACGAATCGTAGCAGGGAAAAACCCAGGGTGCAGGCGAGGTTCAAAATGTAACAAAAAGGCTTTAATATAACAAAAAAAAGGCTGGTGAGGCAGCTTCAAAAACTCACTTGAATACACAGGGATGAGGAAGACTGGACACAGGTACGAACAACAATGATCCGACAAAGACGGATGACGAGACTCAGAATATAAAGCAAACAAATTAAAAGACAATGGGGGAGACCTGGGGAGACACAAGAGGAAACAGGTGAGCATGGGCAGGGCTGGAGGCAAGACAGCAGGGAAGAGAAACACAAGGGAACAGAAAAAAAACTAGAAAATGAAGACAAAAACACAGATCATGACAGTTGACAATGGCAGCCATTCTGAGTCATGCTGACTCCAAAAAGGAAATAGGTCTACATGTGCATCAAATAATAATTTCTGCAAGTTTCATTAAAATTCGTCCAGTGGTTCATGAGATATTTTGCTAACAGACAGACACATGAAGACATGCATACGAAACAAAAGCAAAGCAACATTTTGCTGATGTTGTTTAAGGCTTGCAACGTCGTAATTTTACTTGTACCGGTAACTCTACGTATAGTGCAGAACAACCCTTCTGTATTAACCACAAGAAGTCAGCTGGTTTTGCCACAAGCTGTTCTGAGGTATAACAGCACATATGAGAAAGAAAAGGGTGAAGTTACTGATACCAATCCATCTTCTCAACTTTTCTGATGGAGTGTTCTACAAAATTTATTTTTACAATATTAGGTGGCATACAGACTTTGCTTGTCAAGCAGTAAAAAAGGGGATTTTTGTCTCTTTTTTTTTACTAAATCCACAAATAACTAAATACATCTGCATTAACATTTTTCATGTTTTTCCTTTCAGTATAACTCTGAACAAAGGCAAAGAGAAATGGAGGAGGAGAAGAGAGACGAGCTGCAGCAGCTGATCCAAAAGAGTAAAAATGAGCAGAGTGAGTCTCATCTGTTGCCTTTCTTCGTATGATCACGTTTTCATAAGTTCTGTGAAACAACACGAAGCTACAGACAGACTCCTTATCTGAATCATCACACACTGTACAGTGTGTTTCAATGAAAATGAAGGGGATTTCCATCTGTACTGCCAGTAATTTTGAAAAAAAAAAAATGTAATAGTATACAAAGAGAAGAAACAGATATACCAGTTCTCACCTTGGTGAGGTCTGTACTACTTTGTCATTTAGAGAGGCATTGCTTTGTGTAAAATTATAAAATAAAAACTAAATTGAATATATTCATTGTGCAAACATTTTATTATGAAGCACATGACATGGACCTCTTTAACTGCACTTCAGGTGCTGTTGCCAGTCCACTTGTAAGGCAGAAACTTCGGGAACATATAATAATGAAGAAACAGCCTTCCCATGACAGGATTACCCCAAGTAGTAGTACTCCCCCAGGATACAGGTGAGACGGGCTTCTTTTCTTATTTACAACTCAGGACAAACACTAAAAAAAACACTTTTATTCATTTTAATTGTGTTGGAATGATGGATTTATTGATTTCCTTCATTAAAACAATTTAAAATATTTTTTTAGAAAGTGAAAGGACAGCTATAAATCATGTCGTATCTGATGTTATATATACTGATGTTGATGTTGTGTTTGGTTACCAAGGCTGCCAGTTTCTGACATTTCCTCAAAGCCTCAAGCTACACCCAGTGACCAGCGTAAGGACCTCGCCCTGCGAAGAACAGGTGAGAAAGCTGATTGTGTGATCGAGGTTAACATCCTGAGATTAGAACTTTCAGAGGCACGGATGATTTTCCATTGGATGCAATAAAATAAAGGACACTCGTTGAGGTAGCGGGCCTGCTGGGCCAGAAAGTGCTGAATGGTTGTAAATCATAGGCAACAAAAAGACAAAAAGACCAAAGCAGTTATGTAACTTTAACTAAGGTATGTGTAAAATGAACTGCGTGAGAGACTGACACATTTCTTCCTTACGCTGTGAATTAGAGTGGGAGTGGTTCCTCTACATTTCAGTACACCAACCATTATTTATTTGCGTTGCCCTAAAACCCTTTTTAACACGCACTCACTGACACCCTGAAGTGCTTGAGTTGGCATGGGGACAACAAAAATACAGCTTTTATCTTCTCAGGGCCTGCCACTGATTGATTACTTTGTTTGGACTCTTTGGAAACTGACCAACGTAAACATAGGATCATAAGCATTCACCACTATGGAAGTATTTGCATGTTTCACTTTAGCTTGATTTTGTTATGGAAACTGCTTGTGCACGCTCTTCGTCACATGCGCATTTGTATTTGTGCAGTCTCTGAGCCCACACTGAAGTGGAAGTTAAAGAAAATCATCACCACGAGGCCTAACCCGCTGCAGCGAAAGATCAGTGCCCCTCCTGATGTCAAACACAGGACAGAAACTCTGGGTATGAATACATAGATTATCAGTTGTGGTTCATTTAATACAACATTCGTAAAACAGAAGGCGTGTGTTTTCTAGAGAAATTTAATCAAGATATTTTCCTTTTTCTTCAATCTTTCATTCAGACTCTTCCCCAAGCAGCAGCGCCTCAGCATCAGGGTGCAGCTCACCAAATGACAGCCTCATTTCAGACAACGGCTCCTTTTCTCTGACTGCTGAGGTGAACCTCTTTACTCTGTTYTGGTTATAACAGCTTCCTGTCCTTACAACAACACCACAATACACTCTTCTCAAATAAATGCATGAATGAGAGTCGAATCAGAGATCATTCAACCAAAGAATKATTTGTTGCAGTTTTTTGCCCAATTTGCCCAAATAGTTTTATTAATTAAGAAATCTGCTTTTTCAGTCTAAGGGGTTGCTGTTGAAGAACGGTAGTTTACCTCTTTTTACCAGGACCAGCAACACTACTGCAGGGCACAACATCACAGCTGGACTTCCTGCACAGGTGAGCAACATTTGTTTCAGATTTACTGTCACAGGAAACCAACAAGTAGTTTTCTAAATCAGTTGCGTAGATTTAATAGATATAGCTCACTTAAATACACACCTAATTCACAAGCAAGTATTAAAACATGTTAAATTATAATATTAAATATTATCTGCCACTTTAAACATTTATAGAGGCATGTGTTATTTACAGGCTTTCACTTCTTTCCTGATGTTTTTAGTGACAGCCTACATTAGGGCTGGGTATCATGGCCAATTCTCTAAATCGATTCAATTTCGATTTATTAAGTTCAGAATCGATTAATCACAATTTGATTTGATTTGATTCGATTCGATTCAATTCAATTCGATTCAATGAAAATGTTTATTGATACTACACCATTTTTTCTCTTCAACATAAACATCAGGTTTTAAGGACAAACTTTAAATTAAACTGTTTAATCTTGAAAGAAAACCGTCACAAGTAAAAAAAAGTTTTAAAGTATAAAGGAATTGCAGGTGACAGTGTTGTTGGATGCATTCATTTTTAAGTAATTAATTATTTTGATAAATAAGAAGTGATGGGAATAAGGTTGCAGGAGAAGAGGTGGGCTAATATAAATATACTTCTGCCCACTCCTTTTGAGTGTATGAAGATTTGTGAATGGGTGTTCTGAACTGTAATCTCATTGTGCTCTGTACAATGACAATAAAGGTTTATCTTATCTTAAAACTGTACACTCACCGGCCACTTTATTAGGTACACCTGTCCAACTGCTCGTTAACACTTAATTTCTAATCAGCCAATCACATGGCGGCAACTCAGTGCATTTAGGCATGTAGACATGGTCAAGACAATCTCCTGCAGTTCAAACCGAGCATCAGTATGGGGAAGAAAGGTGATTTGAGTGCCTTTGAACGTGGCATGGTTGTTGGTGCCAGAAGGGCTGGTCTGAGTATTTCAGAAACTGCTGATCTACTGGGATTTTCACGCACAACCATCTCTAGGGTTTACAGAGAGTGGTCTGAAAAAGAAAAAACATCCAGTGAGCGGCAGTCCTGTGGGCGGAAATGCCTTGTTGATACCAGAGGTCAGAGGAGAATGGGCAGACTGGTTCRAGCTGATAGAAAGGCAACAGTGACTCAAATAACCACCCGTTACAACCRAGGTAGGCAGAAGAGCATCTCTGAACGCACAGTACATCGAACTTTGAGGCAGATGGGCTTCAGCAGCAGAAGACCACACCGGGTGCCACTCCTTTCAGCTAAGAACAGGAAACTGAGGCTACAATTTGCACAAGCTCATCGAAATTGGACAAGAGAAGATTGGAAAAACGTTGCCTGGTCTGATGAGTCTCGATTTCTGCTGCGACATTCGGATTGTAGGGTCAGAATTTGGCGTCAACAACATGAAARCATGGATCCATCCTGCCTTGTATCAACGGTTCAGGCTGGTGGAGGTGGTGTCATGGTGTGGGGAATCTTTTCTTGGCACTCTTTGGGCCCCTTGGTACCAATTGAGCATCGTTGCAACGCCACAGCCTACCTGAGTATTGTTGCTGACCATGTCCATCCCTTTATGACCACAATGTACCCAACATCTGATGGCTACTTTCAGCAGGATAATGCGCCATGTCATAAAGCTGGAATCATCTCAGACTGGTTTCTTGAACATGACAATGAGTTCACTGTACTCAAATGGCCTCCACAGTCACCAGATCTCAGTCCAATAGAGCATCTTTGGGATGTGSTGGAACGGGAGATTCGCATCATGGATGTGCAGCCGACAAATCTGCGGCAACTGTGTGATGCCATCATGTCAATATGGACCAAAATCTCTGAGGAATGCTTCCAGCACCTTGTTGAATCTATGCCACGAAGAATTGAGGCAGTTCTGAAGGCAAAAGGGGGTCCAACCCGTTACTAGYGTGGTGTACCTAATAAAGTGGCCGGTGAGTGTATATTTGTAATGATTCTGTTACCTTTTGTTATGCTCAATTAAAATTATTAAAACTTAATACATATAATTTATTAAAACAAATACAAAATTTCATCACTGTGATTTCATTAAGACATCTCTTAAAGTTTAAAAATAATAATATTGGTAACAAAACAAAACRATTTTGTTAGAATTTCATCTTTAACACATTTATACATGCCAGTGGAGAACAGTTCAGTCAGATGTTTACACACAGTAGTTTAGTTTAAGCGCCTAACGAGCCGCTCGTCAAACCCCGCTTTGTTTCTTCTACCACGAAGGAGCACAAATCTTTGCAAACAAAAGCCACCGTGGTCTCTGTTATGTTTAAGTTCTGCTGAGTCGGTTGATAACGTTAATGATTCCTTAGTTTCTTTTGTTTTGATCCAGACAACTTGTTATCGAAAGCTAATGTTAGCACTGAACATCATCCGGATGTAAACATACAGCAAGCCAGGAGTGACAAAATATAGAAACGCGCCTCAGACGTGCACACAAGACGCCATGGGGAAGAATCGATCTCATGTCCTGTGAATCAATTTTCCCAAATTTAAATGAAATTGATCCAAGATCGATAAAATCGATTTTTTACCCAACCCTAGCCTACATACAGTCTGTAGGGTTGTTTATGAGATCATTAACTCTCACTTCGCCTCATTTTTTTTATCACAACTTCTCTCCTGTTCTTTTCTTCTCTCCCAGGCTGACTTGTGTGCGGTAAAGCCCTTGACCATATCAGCTCTGCAACCTGTCTACCTGCCTCCACGCCTGCTGTTGCCCTCCAAGTTCGTTCCTTGTGAGTTGGATTGTTGGTGAAATACCTCAGTAAACACACAAACAGAACACAACACATCGTGTGACCAATCAAGTGAAAATATGGAGACATTTGAGTCGTATTGTTGTATCAATGGTTTGGGTTGTTCCCATACTTTCATTATTTGAGAGTGATAATTAAGTTGTGCTTCATTATTCAGCTGGAGGTTTGCCAACAGTTTGAGGAACACTTGATAATTATGACCATTTTTGACTTCTTTCAAGTTCCTGCTGTGACTAATTTTATTTCTTTCATATAGAATCTTGGTTGTTACTTTTCATCTAAAACTGCAGGTAGATTTCAGCATGAAACAGACAACTACCATGCTAGTGGAATAATACATTTAATTACTAGGGATGAAAATAAAATAATAAATTATTAGCAATATTTAAACAGTTTCCCTGCTTATTACTTAGTTGTTATTGTCAAGTATATTGTAGTAAAACACAAGATAATGTCATGTATGCTCTTTATGTTTGATGATTATTGTTGCTAAAATTAAAAAGGTGTTGAATTATTAAAGGTATTGATTGATTCTTTATTCATTTAATTAAAAACAACATAACTATATACAACAGAAAACAAAGAAAATACACAAATCCAAAATAATAAAATGAAAAGGAAAGGTAGCAGAAGAATTATTATTTGTGATTGTCATTTACTATCGTAACTTTTACAGACAGGGCAGTGTTTTTTGTAGTTTAACCTTACTTCTGTAGGAGGCATTACCAATTAGTTGTATGTGCGTCATTTTGTTGTGGCTTAACCTCCAAGTATTTGTTTTTTTGCAGCTGCTGACAGGTCTGATAAATGGCCAGGCTTTCTAAGATATTTAGTAACTTGTTGTCATGTGGAGAATAAACGATTGTGTGCTTTTAAAACAAGTCAAACGCCTGCAGGGAAACAGTATTTTGCTTTAAATCAAAGACTGTCTTTTGTTTTAAATACCTCAAGAGCGCTCTCTGCTGACAAGAGGACGATGATGCACTTTCACAGTTATAAATTTGTGTGTTTATTTACAAACTTTTGTCATTTCCATCCACTTCTTTAATTAATTAATTACATTTAATTTCTCCTCTGACTCTCCGGGACTTCCTTCCTCTGAATTCAGTTTGCATTAATCATCACTCTAACCCGTCTCCTCTCTGTGTCTGTCTGCAGTTCAAGGTTTGACTTCCATTCCTCAGCAGCAGCATCCTCGCCTCTCCTCCCCCTCCAGGAGAGAAGGTTTAGCCACCTTACCCTCCCACCCACCTGTGGAGCGAACACATTCAGAGCCGTTACCCTACAACCACTCAGTCCTGCGCCTGCACACAAGCCACCATCTTAACACCCCGTACCATCTTCCCCCGCAATTCCTCAAGCGCGGACTGGACATGTCCAAGCGGAATTCACAGCTGAGCAAGGTGAGAGGTGGTGGGTGTGAACACAAGGATGTTACAGCATACATTTCTCACTGGTGATGAATTATCTTAACTGATCAGTTTAATATTATCTGTTTGTCCACAAATGCTTAAAGAGATTATTTATAACTTAAAGACATGAATAGTGAAAAACTTCTACTTTAAAATAGCTGAATATCAAAACCACTGAGAAGCCACGTCTGACACAGATCCCATCAGAGGAAATGGACGTGGACCTGGATGAGACCGGATCAATGTCGGGWTCGGGGACGGGGTCTTTGTGCGGCTCTGAACCTGGTTCACTGTGTGAGGACAGCCACAGCAGGAGGCAAAGCAACGCCAGCACAGACTCGTTTTATGGCACAGAGTCCAACACCTCCTCCAGGGACAGCTTGATCGAGACTTCGCATCCTCTTAATCAGGTGCTAATATCAAGTCATGGTAACACAACCATAAACAAACATTTCCTTTAGATTTAAACACTAAAGTTTAAAGAACAAATAAAAATCTTAACAGGATTAAATAACATAATTGTTTATCATTGCAGCACTTTGACAGAAATAAATGAATAGCTCATCTGGTTATGTTGTTTAGCAAMGAAAAAAAATAGAAATATAGTTAGAATATATAGAGTGCCACTAGGAGGCACTGTTGCTTTATTTATACAAGCAGGAAGGCCTGGAGTAATGCTTCTTGCAGCATGCATGGCAGTGTCAACTGTTCTTCATCAGTTGCTTGTTTGAGACAAGGAAAATTAAATTGTCCAGATAATGAGTTGGAAAATCACATTTAGCATTTGAAATGTTTTTTTTTTTTTCTCATGTGTAATAAACACTTCCACATTTTGATCACAGTCTGTTCTCCTCTTCACACAACGTTCTGCAAAAACACAGAGGCAGGTGATCCTTAGATCAGGTCTCCAGACAGATGCACTGGGCATCCCTGCCTTACTTTGGCCCCACATGTCTCACCCGCCGGTGATCCGGACCCGGTCCTTACCAGCCACGGCCTCCCTGTCTCCTGCAACAGACACCAAGCTACGTTTCACAACAGGTGAACCAAACACTCTGGATTAGGAACATATAAAATGATCCAGTTTCCTGCAGGTTTGGACCTATTGTGGGTTACACCATCTGGTTATATTATAAATGTATGTTTGTGTTTTTGTCCAGGTTTAGTTTATGATGCTCAGATGCTGAAGCACCAATGTAGCTGTGGAGACAACAGCCGTCACCCTGAGCATTCAGGAAGGATACAAAGCATCTGGTCCAGACTGCAAGAGAGAGGGCTGAGGAGCCACTGTGAGGTACGATGACCCCAGCCTGATAAAGTGTGAGATGAAGAGCCACCAAACATATTAGTTTTACAAATCATCTGCATTTTTGTGCTGCAGTGGATCCGCAGCAGAAAGGCCACCCGTGAAGAGTTGCAGTCAGTTCATTCTGAAAACCATGTGTTAATGTTTGGCAACAAGCTGGACAACCGCAGGCTTGCCGGTAAGATCCGTGCTGGCCCTCCTGTGAAATGTATTTAAAATAGCAGTTAAAATAATATGTTTATGACAGCTGAATGAAATGAACTTCCTCGTGCAGGACATCGCATTTTTGTGGAGTTACCATGTGGAGGTGTTGGGGTAAGTGTACACATACATACATACACACACACACTTACACACATTACAAAGCCATTTTTAAATCTCAAGTCATGTGGGAATTTTTCCACTTATCTAATTGCATTTACTGAACAGCAAACATCACATGGCTGATTATGCCTCATTACACAATTTAGGTAATGATGCTACAAATTACTGATGCTATTGTTTTTGGCTAAAATAACCTCGAAAACTCAGAAATTCAAAGTCTGTGCAAAGGTAAGATTTGGAGTAAAAGAAACATTCAAGCTTTGATAGTCATTGCATCAGAATGAGGATGTGGAAGAAGAAAAATGATAATAAATTCAGAGGAGATGTGGAAAATCTGAAGGGGGCTGGGTGGCTGTTGATAAGAGGACCGATGTGCCTGGATTTCCGGCCTTTGGCTGTTCCAGTGAAGAKGGGTGATTGGAACAAGATGGCAAAGTCTGAGAAAAAAAATCCTCTCATTGCATTGTTCTCCAGCAGTACAGCAACATGCCAACAAGTTTTAAAATGTGGAGGAACATTAAAACACAAGCAGGGTACTACAGAAAAAATACATGCAAGTAAAGAAAAAGCGTGACAGAACTGCTAATAATTAAAAATGAAATGACTTTGTTTGTTTAAAATCTGTTATTCCTTCTTTTCCTGACAGGTAGACGTTGATACAGTCTGGAATGAACAACACACAGCTGTCGCTTCCCAGATTGCTGCAGGTTGTGTCACAGACCTGGCACTGAAGGTGGCACAGAGGGAGCTGAAGGTGGGTCTTTGTTGAGTCAGGAACTTTGAAGCTTTAATGCAACTTCATGGGGCGTAAAACCTGTGAAATAATCTATACTTATTCAGCTTCTTAGTTGTTCACAAAGTTTGGTGAGTTTGAAGGCAAATGTTTCTAAACTTTTATGTTTAGGGATATGATGCTACACAAACAAAAAGGTATTAATGTAGTTTTTTCTGTCCTCTCACAGAATGGCTTTGCAGTGGTGAGGCCCCCTGGACACCATGCAACCCGTTCCTCTCCTCTGTAAGTATAGAAGTGTACATGCACACACATATACACATGAATGCATACCAGGAGCCAAGGGGGCTGCAAAGTGTTTCAAAGGGTTTATTACAAATCAGCTTTACTTCAGAGGGAAAGAAAAAGAGAGAGAGTCTCTCCATGTTAGCATGTGTGTGTGTGTCCCACTACCTGCCTGACGCTCGAGGCAATCTACCTCCTCGGCTGTTTTTTTTTAAGCTTTCAAGACACAAAGCAAAGCACCTCTAAAGAGCTGAGCATGTGTGTGTACATCCAGCAATGCACAGAGTGTGGATGTGCATATTTGTGTGCATTGATTTGTGTCAGTCTTTGATAGCAGGCATTTGCCAAGTAACCACATTCAGCTGGAGCTGTGTGTGTGTGTGAGAGCTCAGCAGCGCCTGTCACTGGTTATTTATAGGATGATAATGACTTTTTCTTGATGAGCAAAGTTTGGACAGCTTATAATGTGCATTGTTTGCTCACACACACACACACAGGCGCTCACACTTTACAGCCCATGCTGACGTTGCCTTTTCCAACATTCTTTTGTTGTTTTTTATGCATCAACACTTTTTTTTGTTTGTTTTGCGTAAAGGAGTTGCTACACCAAGTTCTGAGTTCATTTCTCCAAAATCATCCCTCACGTTTTGCCAAATTTCTGACTGGTATTGTTTGGAATGCAGATTAAACTTTATGACAAGATTTGTTTTCTGTTTGTTGCTGAATTCGTGGATCCTGCGTTTTCAATTTTTGGTTGTCAGCTTAGGAGAAAAGCTGCAAAACCAATTTATATTAGAACCAACTTGTTTCTTAAATATTTGCTGTAACTCTTAACGTGGCAGGGTTGAGTGAAGTGGCTGTCACACCCTCAAGGGCCACCGTACAAAGCCAGAAAACTGTCTTAGTGGCTCCTAAGGTCCATATGGTGATGCTGTGATATTAATTTGCTGAAGATGTTCTGATAAACACATCTGGCTGCCACTCTTCCTGTCTGTTTGTCCACAGGGGCTTCTGTTACTTCAACTCTGTGGCCATCGCAGCCAAGCAGCTCCAACATAAGCTCAACGTCAGCAAGGTCCTGATTGTAGACTGGGTAAGGAGCCACAGCACGGCCACTGTCATGGACCAATGTACAGACACACAGATGGGTCAGAGGTACAAACAAGGACCCAGACGTACAGTAGCACCCTGAGTTACCGTTTTGATTATTTAGACAGTTATTTCTGTTATCCACGTGTGAGCTGAGCTGCCACATATGCTTAGAGTAGACATTAAATCACACATAGACACATGAAAGCTCACCAACATGTGCACATATTGATCTGCAGCCAGTTGGTTTTCTCTGCTCAACATATGTGTTTGAGTACTCACTGTGTTTTTACACAATACATACTCTCTGGTACACTCTTGCATGAAATGCAATTTAATATAAAGAATATTAAAAAGAGAAAAACACATTTTCCACTGTCAAGAAAGAGATGTGCAAGGTTTTAGTCCGAATTTCTGGTTTGGTGTTAAACCTAACTATTGGTTTCATTAGTCATTTGCATCATTACGTCACAATACATTCATTGATAAATACCTGCAGCCATTCATAACATCCWGACCTGTCCTCAAATGACTGTCCAGGACGTGCACCATGGCAACGGCACCCAGGAGGCCTTCTACGATGACCCAAACGTGCTGTACATCTCTCTGCATCGCTACGATGATGGAAACTTCTTCCCTGGTAGTGGGCATCCAAACGAGGTTTGTCAGTATTGTATCATTTACTGTATTTATTCATGTATAATACTAGAAATTTAACACTAAAAATCGTCCATAAAGTGGGAGGATAGTATTATACACAGGTTATTGATAACTGTGTGAATGCTACACAGCATTTGAAGACTATTGAGATCATTCTTTTTTACGTACGTATTTCGGCATCTAACTCGCTCCACAATTTTTGTGTTATTTCAACAATTAAAACATTCAGCTCATTTATGCCAAGGTTGCTATGACTTWAGGTATTTCAGCTATGTATACTTTTTTAGTTATTTCACTTTTTTGCCATTGAAAATGATGGAGCTGTTTTCAACATCCTTAAAACCCTTTAAAATGTTTCTAAATCTTTACAGCACCTTACACATTTTGTTCTGGTCATGCTCTTTTTCGTTTTCTTGTGCTAATTTTAATTTTCTGCTATTTCAGCYAAAATTCTGCTTCTTTCTGCTATTCTTCTGCATTTTTCTACCTTTTTTGTATGTTTTTCTGCTCCTCTGTGCTGTTTATGCTTCTTACAGATGCTTTTTTCTATATTCAGCTATTTTCTGCAATTTTAGCTAAAGTTCAGATGTTATTAGATAAAGTTAGCTGTTTTAAGCTAAATACACATTTTTAAAGCAAATTGTTCATGCAAAGTTAAGCAAACGTGCTCCTTATGCTTCTTTATGCTAATTAAAGAATTTCCAGCTACGTTTTAGCTGTTTTACTGAAAATTTCAGCTCTTTTAGCTACTAATTTTACTACAAATTGACAC